TTAATTAGGAACCAGAAATTGTCTAAACTATCCTTGTCAAGCTGCCATATGACAAAGCAGTCATCCATTTCACGTAACTGACAGTTTCGGTGTCAGTCTTTCTTCTTCTATGAACCAAAACTGGGACTAGAAAAGTGTTTGCTCGGAGATACTTTTTGTCAAACAAGCATAAAAGTCCAATCCAAGAGCCTTTATGGTACAGATTCGGCCTCACCTCGAAGGAACACTTCTGTTTAGCTCGCAGATTGTTTGTGCAACGCGACCCATAAACTACATCCTATTCAGGCCGACTGGAAGCCGATCGAGAATCGGTAAATTTCCAGAAAGTCATTTTTCAGGTTGTGTAGTTGAGCCCGGCACCGGCGACCCGAGGTGGATGATGTCATTCGAAGTGTGTTTCTTCATGTGCCTCTGGAACTTTGTAGATTCACAGACTTGGAGCAGGTTCCTTCTAAAACAGGTGAACCCATTTAAAGCAAAGATGCTGATATTTTCCGTGAAAGAACGGGCCGGTAACAGATTCTGAGAGGATAAGGCTTCAAGAGACTCGGAGCATTGAGCGAGAAAACTATCTTCTCTTTTATTCTTTCAATTTGCATTGCTTCGAATCAGTCCTCTTTGCCTAAACAGACGATATGTCATAATTTTATCATAATAATATATGCATAATACTAATAGTTTAATTGATAATTTAAATATAATAATATTAATAAGATATACGTTATAACAATTTATTATTCGGTAATTTGATATTAACTTATAAATAGCCCACGGGCGCCAAATTTTCCCATAGTTACCAGTGCCAGATACCCACTTTTCAGTTCCCTCACAGCCCGTCGATCTGATGATGAGCAGCATTCTAGAAAGGGAGGTGGTGCTCAACTGGGAAAAGCCGCTTCGCAACTATGCCTCCATCAGCTCCTATATGGTGGCAGTGTACAGCCAGCAGTCACCAGAACAAATATTTTCTACGGTGGGTATTGTTCAGCTGATTTTGACGATCAAGTACTTCTCACTAACCATTTAATGCTGCTAGCTGGCACAATATGTGTTAATGGAATTTGCTTGCATAATCTTATGAATGGGTGCCACGGAGCCATTGCCTTCCAACAACTTTTCTCACCCGTGCTTAACTGCACTTTCGTCTTCACCATTTATATGTTGTGGCTGTCGATGCTACTTATATTCAGTGTGAGTAGGCTTGACAATTTTCACTGAGTAATGGATCAAATTTTCATCTGCGAAACAGTGAAATATGATGAATTCACTCTGTCTAATCGGCCTAATCAGCGACTAAGGTTGACCAAATGCTGAAGCTTTGCGCTACTTTT